GCCGAAAACCGTATACCCTAGCTTGTCGTGCATTCTTTCCAAAAATCGGGACTTTTTTAAAACACTGCGGGACGCGGGAAAAGTTGTTTAAAATCGGGCCTGTCCCGCCAAAAGTGGGATGTCTAGTCACCTTACCCTAGGAGCAGGTCAGCCGATCCTGCCTGGGTTCCAGGAGCAGCCCATCTGGGTCCCAGGACAGCCTGCAGCCGGGGCCACTCTTGCAGCCTGCTGCGTGGACCCACAGCCCTCTTCCTGCCCGAGCCCCCTGCCAGGAGCTGTGCCCCTTTCCTGCAGCTGGCTGGCACAGGGAGTGGCAGGTGTGGTCAGAGTTGGCTCTTGGGAAATATTTGTGGGCTGAGAAAGAATCATTTACACTTTGCTCTAATCCTACCGTGTCCTGGACCCAGCCCTTACCCCCTTGTGGAAGAATAACAGTAGCAGTTGACACACACAGAGCTCTTCATTGCACCCAGATTAACCCATCTCATCCTCAACACCATCCACCTGTGCATACTAGACATGCTTTCATTATCCCCAGTTTCCAGATGAGAAAACCGACGCAAGTTCAGTGAACTTGCCTAACATCATGCGGAAAGCAGACCATGGCGCAGGGGCTGAAGTGGCTTCCTGGCTCCAGAGTGCACATACACAATAAACAACGGTTGGCTGAGTTCACGGTGTGACCTTGGACAAATCGCTCTCCCTGTCTGAGCCTTCGTGTCTTTGTTCTATCGATACAATGGGAAATAATGGTTCCTGCTTCAAGGGCTGGAAGGAACACTCAAAGGGTAGGTTCCTACCCTAGCCTACGGTAAGGGGTCCAGCCCAGACCAGGAGACACTGAGCTTTGCAGGGGGCCTTCTTGACAAAGAAGACATTGCTGTAGACTCCAGCAATGAGGACGGGGGAGGGGGGGGGCGATAAAAGTCCCTGGATAGAGCGACGCAGGGTTTGCATTCAGCTTCTAACCTAAGGGTCGGTGGTTCAAAACCACCCAGGGCCACTGCAGAAGCAAGGGCTGGCCATCTGCTTCCTGACAGCTGACAGTCAAGAAAAACCGCAACCCACAAGGTCTCCGGGGGTCAGGATGGACTCGGTGGCCGGTCTCCGGGGGTCAGGATGGACTCGGTGGCCGTGGGTTCCCCCGGTTTTAAACCTCAAATAAGAGAAACAAGAGAGAATGCTGAAGAAGGCAGAGGCACAGCGGTGGGAGTGAGTGAGGAAGTTGTGGGGAGGACGCCCTTAGGCTGGAATGTGGGAAGGGAGGATCGGCAGAAGACAAAGACAAAGAGGCCAAGTTAAGGATTCGGGGTTCTCTAGGGGACTGTGGGGAGCCTAGGAAGGTCTGTGAGCAGAGGTGAGGGTTAGAAAGATACTGCCTCCTGGCTCTGGCCCTTAGCAGAAATTCACTACCATGATGTCTACTGCTGCTCAGAGCAGCTTTATAGAAAATAGGGGAAGTGGCCCCTTGACATTCAAAAAAAAAAACCAAACAAACAAAACCTTGGACTCACTGCTATCCTGTCAGTTCTTAGGCCAGACAACCTTCTAGGAGGACTAGATCCTGTAGGATTCTGAGACTGTAACTCTTTACAGGAGTAGATAGCACTGTCTTTCACCCTCGGAACAGCTACCTGCTTGGACCTGTAGACCTTGGGGAACCAGCCCAACTGTTGACCACGATGCCACCAGGGCTTCCGTTGGTCTTATGATATTGTAAACCATTCCAGGAGTAGATGGCCCCATATCTCCCCCAGGTATTGGCTGGTAAATTCAAAGCACTGACCTTGTGATTAGCAGTCCAATACCTAATCAAAAAAAAAAGAAAGAAAGATACTACCTCTGGAGGCTGGCCAGTGCTAAAGGTGGATGAGGGTACAGAAGGGAAAATAAAAAGACCGGAAGGGGCTGGGGATGAAGCTCGTTGCTGTCCGTCTATTCGGACTCAACACGTCCTCAGCTGTAATCTTGATGGAGGCAGAAGACCTGGCCTTTCTTCCATTGTGCCCCTGAGTGGGTCAGAAACGCCACCAACTGGGTTGGCAACTGCACACAAAGCCTCTGGGCTGCCTAGAGGCCTGAGTGAGGCGAGAGAGGCAGAGAATTACCATGGGCGATTAGGGGTCCCTATTGCACCCCGTGGGGTGGAAGTTGGTGCTGGGGGACCCACAAGGCATTTGCTTCCCACCCCATCTGAGGGGCAGAGCCCGCCTCTCACCCAGCAGCTGCACCTGATGTTAGGGGGCTAGGACTCCCTGGCAGCCGGAAGCCCATTCGAAATGAGCCCGTCCCCTTGGAAGCTCAGCCAGGCAGCAAGGTGATGCACCCCAGAACTGCAGGTGGAGGGATACGGGGACCCTGGCAGAGGACGAATCAAAAACCCAGAGAAACAAGCCACTCACTGCGCTTTGCGGGGGCCGTGAAGGGCTCAGGGGGCCCTGGCCAGGGTTCAGAGAACAATGGCCCCCATGATTAAGTAATGAAGGAGGCTGAGCGGAGAAGAGGAAGTGCAGGCAGTGAAAGTGGGGTGGCAGCCAGTTCCACAGGCCTGTAGTCCTGGGGGCTGCACTTTACGGAGTCTTGCTCCAGGGTCGTGCTGCCTGCTCTCCCCAGGAGGGCTTCTGCAGCCCAGCAGGGGAATGTGCGCCTGAGCCTGGACCTGCGTCCACCCAGCTCCCAGCTGGGCCCCAGAAGAATGGGGGGAGGTGGGCTCGGATGTGGAAACAGAGAAAACCGTGGAGAGCGAGGCCTGTGGAAGCTGGGAGGAAAGGCATTCATATTTGGGGAATTGGAGTTTTGAAGGGAAACGTCTTCCCTTTCTCTGCCTTGTCAGTAAATAGGAGAGAGATTTTTCTCGCCAAAGGCTTTAGAGTCAAATCTGCGTTCTTTATGATTGCAGCAATGGGCAAAGACAGGCCAGAAGGGGGCACATGATGACCTGGATCGATGCAGGTCAAAGGCAGGGGCCCCACCAGAGGAGGTCTGGGGTCTGGGCTGTGTATGTTGAATGCTTAGCCAGGTAGCTGAGGCCCAGCCTGGGCCCCTTGCAGTTCTGGCCTGCTTCCCACCCCTTCACTAAACCCCGCCCCAGCAAATTATTCTCTCTCTCTCTCTCTCTCATTAAAATTAGAGAATTGGGCTTCCAGTTCCGGAAAGCCATTTGCCTATCAGGGCAATGCCTTGTTGGCTTGTTG